TTATATGTTCAAAGCTTTCTTCATACCTAATTCATTGTTTCATTTCTCCTTAATAAATTTTGAAAATTCCTTTTCATTCTTCATTTCCATACTTTCGTTGGAACATTAAATAGTCCAAAACTTGATGCTTCATTTAATATGATTGTTTCATTCAATATTATCTTTGATACACTAAAGATTTGTGATAGTCACAGGAAATCTTGAAGCTGTCTAATGTTTAGAAAAATGCTCAAGTTAGCAAAATGATCATTGCCAATTGAAGAGAAGAGATGAAGTTTGCATCTAAAAAAAAAAAAAAGAAAAAGAAGAAAAAGAAGAAAGAAAAAGAAAAGATAAACTTGTGTCTTAGAAAATCACATCCTAGATGAAGTTGCATCTCAGGAAGAAGAAGCGATGAAGTTGCATCTCAGAAAGAAGAGGCGATGAAGTTGCATCTCAAGAAGAAGAAGCGATGAAGTTGCATCTCAGAAAGAAGAGGCGATGAAGTTGCATCTCAAGAAGAAGAAGCGATGAAGTTGCATCTCAGAAAAGATGAAGTTACGTCTAAGAAAATCACATCCTAGATGAAGTTACATCTCAGGAAGAAGAAGGGATGAAGTTGCATCTCAGAAAAGATGAAGTTACGTCTCAAAAAATCTCATCCTAGATGAAGTTGCATCTTAGGAAGAAGAAGGGATGAAGTTGCATCTCAGAAAAGACGAAGTTACGTCTCAGAAAATCACATTCTAGATGAAGTTGCATTTCAAGAAAAAGAAGGGATGAAGTTGCATCTCAAGAAAGATGAAGTTACGTCTAAAAAAAAAAAATCACATCCTAGATGAAGTTGCATCTTAGGAAGAAGAAAAGATGAAGTGGCATCTCAGGAAGAAAGAGAGATGAAGACTACATCTCACAAAAGATAAGATGAAGACCACATCTTAGAAGTCATATCTTAGATGAAGACCGCATCTCAGGAAGAAGGAGAGATGAAGACCGCATCTTAAAAGTCACATCCTAGATGAAGACCACATCTAAGGAAGAAAGAGAGATGAAGATCGCATCTCGCAAAGGATAAGATGAAGACCGTATCTTAGAAGTCACATCCTAGATGAAAACCGTATCTAAGGAAGAAGGAGAGATGAAGACCGCATCTCGCAAAAGATGAGATGAAGACTGCATCTTGCAAAAGATAAGATGAAGACTGCAACTTTCACTTATACATTGTTTTCAAAGCTTAAAATTGGGTTATTCTTTTATTATTTACTTTTCTTTTTACAAAAGAAAAGTAAAGAGGGGGCAACTGTCATAACCCAATTTTAATTGGGGCTAAATGATAAAATTAGAAGGCAATGGACTATTTTTTATAAAGGCTGAAAACTTGAAGGGCTGAGAAGAAAAATGGCAAAACGACGTGGTTTTGACCATTGGGCTAAAAAATAAAAAAGGGCTATGTTAAGACGAACCCTAGCCCTCAATTTTTCTTGCTTCCTTTTGCTTTGCCGCCAACCACTCTCCCAAAAACTCCGAAAATCTTTTGATTTATCTCTAAATCCATTCAAAGTTTGGATAGATCACAACAACAAAAGAAGAGATTTTCGGATTTGAAGTCTTTATCAAGAACTGAAGGGGAAGTTTTCGTAGTCGATTTAAATGAGGAGTCCTGATCTTTAAAAGGTATGAATCTAGTCTTGAAAGAGAGAAAACGTGTAAAAAGACTAGATTAGTTTTAGAATTCCAATTTCAAATAGGATTAGATTATTATCTGTAATTTTGGGGATTGAGCTTAGAATTTAGAATTAGAAAAGGATTTGAGTCCTCTCTATTTCTATATAAAAGGGGGGGGGGGCACCTTCGGCTTTAGGGGAAGGAGGGAAAATTCGGGAAAAATTAAGGGAGAAAGGGAGAAAATTGGCGAAGCTTAGAAGGAATATTGGAGAGACCGAGAGGGAGAGAGAGAGCAAAGAAGAAGAGGAAGTATAGCAACTTGTATTCAAAATTTCAAGGAATATAAAGTTTGATTTTTCTATATTTTTCAGGTGTGTTTTTTCTTTTGTGTGTTTTTTTTTCTATCATACTCTTCCTTTCTTTGTAACTGGTAATTGCTTGGCTACCCTTTTAAATTGTTTCTTTTTTGGTTTGTCTGCAATTGATCTAAAAAAAGGGTTTATTGGTTGTGTCCCTGCTGCAACATGATTTTACTTGCTTCTCCCACATTAGTTTTGTTTCCTATGATGCAAAATAATCACTGGCAAAATTTTCTTGTTTAGGAAAAGTTAACTTGATGTTATTCATGAGTTTTTTTTTAGGATATGTTATTATGCAATAATAGGAAAAAGGATTGGGAAAAGAAACTCTCGAAATATGAGGTGGGGTTTAGGCATTAGAAGGGAAAAAAAGAAACAAAAAAGGGAAGGAAGCAGAAACGAAAAAAGAAGGAAGCAGAAATGAAGAAAAAAGAA